ATATATTATCACTGTTCAGAAAATTAATTAAAATATCAATTGAGTTTAAATACACTTAATTAAGACTTAGCTAAAATTCAAATTCATTTCTCAATTACAAATGCAAGTTACCACAAGAAATTATTGTATAATTTTTACTAATTTCAAGCCATAGAATTTTCTTCACTTCATTTCTATCCTCAGCCATCTTTATATTCATAGTATTGTCTATACATTTACAACTTTGCAAAATATAGTTTGAATGTTGTATTTTTTTACAAATAAGGTGATACTTTACCTTTTTATACTTAGCAGCTTATATCTTTTATCTTCAAAATGGAATTATAATTCCTTTGATCTTTGTGTTTAGTATTAAACATAATGAATATGCAATGCCAAAAGTTTAAACGTTTCTTTTTTTTTATCTATATTTTCAGATTTCTCCATTTAACTTTTTTTGTGTAAATTATAATATGTGTAATAAATTTTATTAATTGAAAATGAAATTATTTTTTCAGATTGTGCCAAATCTTGTAAGAATTCTCAAGAACTTGATCTTAGCTGGATATTCACCAGAGCATGACGTGTCAGGAGTATCTGACCCTTTCCTTCAAGTGAAAATATTACGTCTTTTGCGAATTTTGGGACGCAATGATATTGAGGCATCAGAAGCAATGAATGATATACTTGCTCAGGTAGCAACAAATACAGAGACCAGCAAGAATGTGGGCAATACAATATTGTATGAAACTGTATTATCCATAATGGACATAAAATCAGAGAGTGGACTTAGAGTGTTGGCAGTAAATATTTTAGGCCGATTTTTATTAAATAATGATAAGAATATTCGATACGTTGCTTTGAATACATTATTGAAAACAGTTTATGTAGATACAAGTGCAGTGCAAAGACATCGTTCAACCATTCTGGTAATAGACTTATGTTGTTTATGTATTTTCCAATGCATCAGTATTTAAAATAGAATGATACATTTTATATATTCTTTAGGAATGCTTAAAAGATCCGGATGTATCAATCAGAAGACGTGCAATGGAACTTAGTTTTGCACTTGTGAACTCTAACAATATTAGAAATATGATGAAGGAATTATTACTATTCTTGGAACGTGCTGATCCAGAATTCAAAGCTCAATGCAGTAGTAATATAGTGATGTCTGCAGAGAGATTCGCACCCAACAAACGTTGGCATCTTGAAACCTTGTTTAAAGTTCTTGTTGCTGTATGTTTTTACTGCTGTATATATATCTATATATCTTTTGTTGCATCCATACATATAATATTTTTATCGAATTATTATTACTTCTCAGGCTGGTAATTATGTCAGAGATGATGTAGTTGCATGTACTATTCAATTAATTTCGGAAACGCAAGCACAACAAGGCTATGCTGTTAGTGCATTGTGGAAAGCATTGGAGAAAGATACATTCGATAAGCAACCTTTAGCTCAAGTAGCAACGTGGTGTATTGGTGAATACGGTGATTTATTATTGTACGGGCCACCAACGGAAGATGCAGAAGCTCCAGTCAATGTATGTATATATGCATTTAAGTAATTTATTTTGTTATTTTATTCTTCTCAATAAAAAGTATTTTAAAAAGATCATAATTTATAAATTCATGTTATAATTAGTTAACAGAAGACGAAGTTATTGATGTCTATCAGAGGTTACTGTGGAGTCCACAAAATACAGTTGTTACAAAACAATACACCTTATTGTCTCTCACAAAACTTAGTACACGATTTCAGAAAGGAAATGAGTGAGTAATATTTAAAAGTTTAATGAATACTTGTTTGTATTATATCATTTATATATCATTGGTACCAAAATGATTTCCTAATATTGCAGAAAGATACGCCAGATAATTGATACATTTGGAAGCAATTTACATATTGAGTTGCAACAACGAGGTATTGAATTCTCACAGTTGTTCAGAAAATACGATCATTTGCGCCCTGCGTTACTCGAGAGGATGCCTCCAATGGAAACAGCAAAACCTCAAGCTAATGGTATTATTGGTATGGTAAATGGTGAACCAGAACCTGAAGAAGAAAAATCAGTTGTGCTGGAAGCAAGTAGTACGCCACCATCTGATTCAGTAAGTTTATTGCGAGTATGTTGTAATACAAATTACATAATTTATTGTTAAATTTGAACAACGGAAATATAATATGTAACATCTTTTGCATTTTATAGAGTGTACTTTTAGATTTGCTTGGAACCGCTGATATTGGAGTCACTTCTACATTATCAAATAAAAATCCACCTGCTAATAATACAACTTCCACAGTAAACAATAACGATCTGTTGGACTTACTTGGTAGTTTGGATTTGAGTGCTCCTACATCTACATCTACATCTACATCTACAGCTACACTGCCACAAGCACAAACACCAACGCAAGTATTCAGTCCTACAAATGTGAACAACTTTTTAGTGGATGGTTTACTTAATTCATCATCAACTCAAAACGGTTTGTTGGGATTCTTATAAATGTTCTATTGTGTATGTATAATGTTTACTTGTAAGATCTTGCTCTAACTAGTGTCATATTTTACAATTTCAGACACTCCTACTATGATTGTCTTGGATAAAGCAGGTCTTAAAATAACATTCAGATTAGAAAGACCACCAGATATTGCAGACCTATTGATCATTAACATGTCAGCTCAGAATTCTGGAAGTGTTATACTAACTGATTTTCTGTTTCAAGCAGCAGTTCCTAAGGTAAACGTTTGCATCTTACAATTTCTTTCTAGTCATCGTTATAATTAATTATTTCCATTTTCAGACATTCCAACTACAAATGTTGTCTCCATCGAGTACTGTAATTCCTCCATCTGGGCAAGTTACACAAGTATTGAAAGTTACAAACGTCAACAAAGTATGTTTTCATGATGGTATATCATGCTAAAATAATTAAACACTAGTTTTTTTAGTTTGTATTTATAATTCATGTATATCTCTTTCAATCAGGTATCTCTAAGAATGAGATTACGCATCTCTTATACTGGATCATCAGGACCGGTCTTGGAACAAACAGAAGTAAATAATTTTCCTCCGTTGGCATTACAGTGACAACATATATCAAGAAAGACAATTGTACATATGCCTGTCTAAATAAGTAATTGAGTTTGAAATAGACTCAACTCAATTTCATTTCTTTATTGGGTAAAAAAGAAACATACTGCTAAAAGGACATGTTTGACGACAAATTTTCCGATTAATTGAATCGATAATGGATCATACATGGTACGAATTTGATAAGATACAGATTTCTAATGAATTTTAATTCTTTTGATTTGATAACATACGTAAAAATATATTTCATCTGCTCACTAGCCATAATTTGAGATTCCAAAAACTGTAGACTTTCTATCATATCTCGTAAAACAATTTTTTGTAAATATGTTACAATGAATAGAATATTTTAATAATTTCATTGTATACAATA